TAGCATAGATATATGGTTACATTCTCTTAATGAATAGAGGGATTTGTTGTAATAGTGCTTGTAAATAGGATATCATGTCCACATCTTTTACAGCAAATAACCACTAGGAAGAATGTATGCGATGTGTTAATTATTGAAACTGTCCTACCAATTTGGTTTGAAACTGTCTCATTGCTATTTGTTTCTCAATAAAATTATTTTTAAAAAAAAGAAAGAAAAGAAAAGGACAGGCATTTAGTGAAGCCCATGCCAAGACCACTCACTTCCCTCTTCTCAGATGCCTGCTGATCAGCTGTATCACAGGATGATTACAGCTGCAGGCCACAAAATATCAGATTGACAATCTGCTGGTCAAATGAAATTGAAATTTCAAGCATTTTACAAAGTAAGAGTTAGTCTACAATGAGAAATAAGCAGTGAGGTACATGTTTCATTCAAACCAAAATGGTAGGGAAGCTGGTTTTCAGATCCGCATGCTGAAGCTCATCATGCGTTGACTAAGCTGTGTCCATCATCAGACAACTAACCAGTGACAGAGCAACTAAGCATTGGGCCATCTTTTCTCATGGTGGAAAAGCAGCTGTAGAGGCGTGTGTCCTATCAGATAGCAATATCACCATCTGATTTTTCATATTAAAAGAAAGATCTTCGATGGGAAACCAACAGTCGGCATGTAAGTTCCTTGGAGACAGAGCTTATTATTTTATTGCTCTTCTTTATGTATTATGCAGCCTCAGCCATGCCCCATTCAGGGCTCTGTTAATTTACTTCCAGAAGCTCAGTTGACTGATGACACTAGCTGCCACCTCTCTGATCCATCACACTGAAACTGAGACCACGCTTGGCCCTGGCTTTCCCTAGCCAAGCACTGAGCAGGCAGGGGTGCCTTCCTGAGTGACTGCTGCATGCCAGGGCTCCTTTAAGGAGTAAGATTTTCCCAGGGACCTCCCCATCCATCAGCTCAGTCCAAGCATTCTCAGACCTGGGCCATGGCATGGAGCACTTCTGACCTCACCAATGCCTCTCCCTTCCTGTTCCTAGACATCAGACCAGCACTGAAGTCTAAAAGCCTTACCATGCAGGACATGGTTGCTCATGCCGGTAGTTCCAGCACTCAGAAGGTGAAGGCAGGAAGATCACCATGAGTTTGAGGTCAACCTGCGCTACATAGTGAGTTCAAGGCTGGTCTGAAGTACTTAGTGAGACCCTACCAATCAATCAATCAATCAATCAATCAATCAATGTTAGAAAGACTTTCCCTAGCTTCCCTGACCACTGTGGCATGCTCCCCTCTTTAATTTTCACAACTTGCTCCCCCAAATCTCATCTTACAGGACCCAAATTGACATGTATGCTGAATGGATGGGCTATGGTAGAAACAGTCTCATTATGCACCAGTTAATCCTCACTGCCTCCCAGTTAAGACAACATGATCGTGCTTATGACTCACACAAACAGTTCCATGCTTCCTAGTTAAGACCTACACTTATCAGGAGGAAATCTGTGTTTCAGCATTAACTGTAGCTGCTCCACAAATTAAAAAAAAAAATGAGTAGTAAACAGTTTCATGTCTCTCAAAATTGAAAAGTGATGCCAATATACCTAGGTTGAGGGTACAAGCATAGAACAAAGAATTAAATATCCTAGGCTGAGGGCAAACATGTTCTTTTGAGTTTTAGTGCCTCTTAGACACATCCTCTCCCATCTCTTAACCTACATACTAATTACTAAGCATCATCTTCCTCGCACTGACCTTCCCTGCTGCAAAATAAACTTACTAAGAACCCAAAATAAAACAATACAGTGATGAAAGATATTGACCAAGAAGGACCAACAATCAGCCCAAATATTCAGATACCAAGACTTAAAGGTCACTTGGGCAGTTAGATGTCTAAATCCTTCCCTGTTTGGCAATAAACTGTGGAATGACTACTATAAAAAGCAGACAAATGTGCTATGACTCTTAGGTTCTCAACCATATTCCTAAAATGCTATAAATGCATCTCACCAAATGCACTGATTCACACCCTCTAAGCAGCAGCCAAGGCATGATTGAACGTGCATGAGACTGATGAGGGGAGACTCCAGTGAAAGAAAAAATGTAAATGAAGTTGTGGGGCACTGATGAATGTGTAACTCCTAAATGTGTACATATGTGTACATGGGCAAGTGCGCTATAAATCTCACTGACACAAAGGTTGTATGTATGTGTAGCTTAAAGTTAATAAGAGCATGTGGGTTACTCTTTATCATTATAAATTTCTATGGCAAACTGATTCTCACAGCATGGCTTTTCTTAGTTTTCACCAAACTCTACTGTCTGCGGCTGACCAATGGGTGCATTCAGTTATTATGTGACACAATCAGACAACACATAAGTACTTGGTTACCACCCAATTTAGTAAAGTAGTCATGTCATTGATCACAATTCTTTTCTAGTTCTGAATTTTAATAATGTGAATGATATAGACTAAATACTCTTCTGAATTACAAAGATTTTCTTCATCACTTTCTGAAATCTAAGCCACGGATTAGCAAATATTTTTTGAAAAGTTCTGTCTTTTTTTTTTTTTTGTAGAACCAGGGATTGAACTCAGTCACTTGTGCTTATCAGGGAAGCGCTTATTCCACTGAGCCATCTCCCTGGCCCCTATTTTTTGAAAAGGAATTGGGAGTAAATACTTTTTGCTTCATAAGTCATGTGGTCTGTGTTGCCACTGCTCAATCCTGACATTATAGTGTAAAAGTGGCTCTAGCAATATGTAAACAAAACAGCTGAAAAAGAAAACAGAGCTTTATTCCAATAAAAATTTACTTACAAAACACAAGCAGTCACAGACTTGCAAAGAGAGACCATCCTTTGTCTAGACAATGAACCAAACAGTAAATCAAACCATGCACGTTTTATAGAGTCTGCCAACTTTCACGGTGTGAATGTTCCTCCCAGGGTCTATTTCCAACTACCAATGGGCTTCAATGACTTATAAAGAGATATCTGACAGGTGTACCTTATCATTTAGCACTCTTTTTTTTTTCGTATTTAGCACTCTTGTCCTATAAATATATACTCCTAAATAACCAGAAGAGTGTGCATTACTACAAAATAAGTAGTAGGTAGTGACAAACTTTTGCATATCTGTTGTCTTTGTTTCTCATATAGCTTAACCAAAAGCATATATAATTATATTTTCATATAGTCTGTATTTAATAATCAACTCCAAACTTGAGTTTCCAGTTCTAGTAACTCAAAGAAAGGCAGAACAGCTAGCAAACGTGATCAGGCTGTGATACAGGGCTGACCTCTGTTCAGGAGAAGGGGAGGGAACTTGGGGGTGGGGGGGCAGACAGCAGGGTGGGTCTCATAAATTTAGGCCAGACTGATGGAAAGATCTTGCACTAATGCTACCTGTTAATGAAGTTCTATGTCTGAGAAATGAACCTGCATTCATACCTTGCCAGGCTCAGCCACTGGATGGAAACAGCCCACAAGAAGATTAGCTTTGGCATTTGACTTAGAGAAGCTCCAGCCATACCTGGAATCCTGCCCTCGTGTCACCGCCCAACTAGGTGCTGAAATAGCTGACACTGCCATTCTCTTACACCCCCCACATCTGGTAGCACATTGTCATGGCCACTATACCATGTAAGAATTAGTTTCATGTGTTAATAATAAATCCACATTATGGTAAGAAGTGCATCAAGTTCAATACAATACCCAGGCCGTACCCCATAGTAAAAGAACCAAAGTGACAAATGTTATGTGTTGGGAGGCTGGTTGAGTTACAGAACCTTCAGAGATGAATGAGAAAGGAGCACTTGTGAAGGTGGGTGTTTTTCAGAGTGATGGAGAGATTAACCACAAATTAAAATACAGAAAACTACTTAATATCCACAATGAAGAAACATATTGTGACAATTGCTGATAGGTGGGCATCAAAACAGACGATCAGATGAGCTTAACAAGGCCTTATTTCTTGCATTAAGTGTCTTCTGACCTCGCAGAGTGTGAGGATGCCAGAGTGAGGTGGCTGCCACCGCAGGTGCTGCAGTTGTGTTTTGCTGTCCTTCTTCAAACAAATAGACTCTGTTTATGTCACTCCTTTTACCTAAAGTTGAGGTGGAAAGAGAGATGACAACCGATGTCCTGATAGTGTCCCCCATGTCCATCAGTCCCCTGCTCCCCTGCTCCTTGTCAACATTTCAGTTTCCAGTCCTTGGTTGCTAACATGCTTCAACAAGTATCACCAGACAACAAGTCAACTCTCCAAATTCTTTCCATTGTTTCCTGAGCCAAAGTTGGATAGAGTTTTAAGTAAGAAGTTTTCCCGGAGTCAATTTGGTGCCTAGAGGCTTCATAATATTTATACCCTTTAAGTTGTGGTATTTCATGGGAATGTGGAAGGAGTAGGAAGTATTATACTCATTTTAGAGTGGGGAAATTAAGGTGAATCTAATTTTCCTGGTTTTTTGTATATTGGGATTTTTTTAATTTTTTTTATATTTAGCGTTTAATAGCTTACACTCAGCACCTCCAGTTTCTTCCCAGTCTCTTCTGGGCCCATAATTGAGCAGAGTTTAACATCACTTTGGGGGTCAGGATGTTGCAATCATTATCATTATTGACATGGGGACTCACTCTGTTGCCCAGGCTGATCTGGAATTCCTGGGCCCCTGCCTCAGCCTCTCAAGTATATAAAACTACACGTACCCAGATCGTCCATATAAAATTTAGCATCAGTTTTTTTGATGGCTACAAAAAAGTCTTGCTGAGACTTTGACTGGAATTATGCTGAGCCCAATGACAGTGTGAAGGGGATTAAATTTGGGAAAAGTACCTATTTACAGTCTTCATCCATTTTTCTGTTTCTTTTCCTTACTCACTTGTAAAAGCCATAAGCTTCTTGTAAAGTACTCCTGAGAAGAAAAGGAAATAGGTCAATGGTCCACCAGCTGTGAAGACAAAGCCACTAACCAGCTATGTGTACTCTTGACCTCCCCAGGCTCCGAGAGGAATGGAGGCAGAGGTTGGAGAAGAGGCTTCAGATGATGGATAATTCTGAGGAACAGAAGCAGCCCCAGCCTGCCAACTGAGAGCTTCCTGCCATGCTGCCTGCATAGGCATCAAATTGTCAAAGGCATTTTTCTAGCAAAAAGAGCTAACACCCAGTTACCCTAACTTACTAAACAGGATTTTCTCTTGTTCCTCTCCCATTTGTGGAAGGATTTACACGTGAAGCCTCCACTTGTGCTAATGGGGGTTATCAATGAGCTCAATCCTCTCTGCACAGATGACAGGGTAATCACAAATGGGACAGGAAACATGGATTATTTAGTATAGAAAGCTCTTAGAGGGGCTGGGGAGATAGGTCAGTGGAATAAATGCTTGCCTAGCAAGTGCAAGGTCCTGAGTTTGATCCCTAGTACCACCCCCCTCCAAAAAAAGCAAGCTCTTAGAATGAGCATGCGAGTGCTTGCACACACACACACACACACACCCACACCAGGTTTCAAAGATCCACATAGCATTATCAAGTCTTACATTTTCTTCGAATTTTGAAATCTGAACATTTTCTCTGAGCTTACAGCAGGCAATGAGCTTACAGCAGCACTCCTTGGTAGGAGTCTGGCTTCCACAAATCTCCTAGAAATAAGAAAGTCAAAAAGTCTTCATCCTCCTTTACCTGTTTTTGTATGTAGAGAAATTCATCTGCTTACAGAAATAAAGCTATCATTATTTTTAATTTAACAATATGGCTTGAAAATGAAGTAAACTGATTTTTACTCTTATGAATTTGGAAATTTTTTTATTAATATGCTTAATCAGAAACACACAGCAAAAGCAGAACAGTACTAGATAAACAGGGCTGTTGGGCACTCACATTGCTTGCCTTTGGCACTGCCCACCCTAGGTCACTCCTTTCTATGGTGGCACAGCAAGGGGCCCCAGCTGCCCAAGATGCTCAGTGGAATTTAAGATCATCCTCACATTAGCCTACTGTCAGGTTGTAAACCTGGCTAACAGGCAAATGGCCTTCAAAGATGGCATTGATGAAGGGTCCTCTTATGAGAGAGAAGCAGAGAGATGTACAGTGGGCAACCATTGCTAGCTCAAGGATCCAGATGGCCTAAGGGACAATGATGGTATGGGGGACAATGCTGGAGAGGACATCTCAGCCCTCATAGATGCTGTGGGCTCTCACAACATGTTTTCTTGGAAAACTAATGGCCTTATCATGGCTTAGAGAGACATGGGTGGGAAGAAGGGTTGGAGGGATATTTCCACCATCCTCTACCATTAAGAGACAACAGTACAAGGGCCCACTCTGTGGGCTCCTTGTTGAACTCAGAAAAAAGTAGGCTGTAGACTACAGCTGGAAAAATCTGACCCAATTTGGAAATGGATGTTACTAATAAAATAGAATTTTATTTAGGACAGAGAATCTGTGAAATAAGTATTAAGGTACCTAACCATACTGGAAGCCGGGAAGAGCCCTCTGCAAAACAGACACTGAGGCAGACCTACTTAGTATGTGGGAATATTTTCACTATGTATATAAACCTTAAGACCAGGCTACACACTTCAAGTACATATAACACATAAATATACATTAAAAATCATCCACAAAGATAGGACGAGGCAGTTATCTTGGGCAGAATAAGTTTGAATATCTATGGAGGAGAGACACAGCACAAGGGGACAGGGACCTGCTGTCTATAGGGAGATGAACAGAAAGAATGAAGAGGGGACTCATCTGTGGCAGACTGGAGAAGGGAGCAGAGGATCTAGAATCAAGCCAAAGAATTTGTTAGCTTATTAGTCTGTCACCATAGGGTAACAAAGAGCCATTGGTAGGTTTTCAGTAGAAGAACAAACTGATTAAACTTGTACCATTTATTTTTTCAAATTTTTTGATGCAAAAACATATACATTTAATTTTTATGTAAATACATAATAGGATCATACTGTATATCAATCAATTTTCTGTCACCATGATAAAATACTTGACATAATTAAGTTAAACTGATATACAAGTAGAGAGATGTAGTGTGGGAAACCCTTGCTAGCCCAAGAACCCAGATGGCCAGAGGGACAACCACGGTATGGGTGAGGCAACATATCATGGTGGGAGCACATAGTGGAGGATCCTGCTCACCTCATGGAAGTTGGAAAGGAAAGAGACAGGAGAGAGCCAGAGAACCCCTATGCTTTTCATGTACACTCACCCAATGAACTAACTTCCTTCTACCAGTCCCTATCTCTACAAGGTTCCACCACCTCCCAATATGCTGCATTCTGGGCACCAAGCTTTTTTTTTTTTTTTTTTTTTTTTTTTTTTTTGCTAAGCAGTTTTTATTACATTCAAAGTATTAAGACAAGTACAAATAACCTTGTAATCAGAATATGGTATCAGTCAATAAAAAAGGAGAAACTACTATAGTATGAAGATATACAAATGACTATACAAGCTGTGACAGGATTAACAACATAAAATGGGCAGTTTCCTTGTTTCTTTTAGAAATGCTAAATTTTCTTTAAAAAGCAAATGAAATACAGCACTCTATGCATAACCAAGAAAATAATAAAAGCAGTCTTAACACAACTAATAGCATAACAGATTCCGTTGCTTCTATTCAACAGCCTTTGCTAGCACATGCCTACTCCGTTTCCTAGCTTTAAGAACAATTTCCTCTAAGGAAAACTAGTGCAGCATAACCCTTAAATAATTTCATTTAAAGTTACAACCTATATAGAAATGAACACCTAGGGGCCGGGGAGATGGCTCAGTAGAATAAGCACTTCTCTGGCAAGTGCAAGAGCCTGAGTACAATCCCCGGTTCCACCAAAAAAAAAAAGAAAAAAAAGAAAGAAATGAACACCCTGTCAATGTAGGTACAACAGTAGCAACCATGCCGCACATGCACTTCTGTTAGAATAAACCCCCATGGCTGGCAGGGTAAGGTTATGTTATGGACCCTTCTCTCCCTCAGCCACAAGTCCCCTTCTGGAATGTGTCCCTGCTACCCTCACCCCCTATCCCCACACTGACATTCACCTTTCCCACCCCCAAAACCACAGTTCACAGAAGCCTTCCTACGAAATAGTTTTCAAGAGTAGCCCAGCCTACATGCTTTTTTTAAAAAAAGCCCCCTAAGCCCCAGAGGTGATGAAAATGAGTTCTGTTCTTGGAATATCTAAGCCTTCATGGGTCACAGAGGTGTGCTCTGATGAACACCTTTGTTTTATTTGTTGTGTGGGGTTTTCTTTAACCATTTAAAGGCCCTGGGATATAACGGAGAGAACACCTCAATTTCCCCAAGTGAGGCCCAGAGAAGCGAGAGATTCAAGTTACGGCCTTCAGTTTGGCTAAGCTTCCAGCCCAGTTCCTCACTTGGGTTCTTTCACAGGAACTAGTTATTGCTTCCACAACCCTCTTACAGGGAATGTTCCACAAAGGCTATGACCTCCACCTGTGATAACTCTGCCCTGAAAAACAAATCAGCCCAAGAGCTCTTACCAGAAGGAAACTTTTCGGCTTTCAAGGTTACTGAAACTTCATTAGTGCAGTTGAGAGTAAATGCGTAAGGTATGGCACATGTTAAATGATTATTGGCACAATGTTCTCCAGTTTCACCTATCATTCTTTTGCACATGGGCCATAGCTCAATGGATCAGACAGTTCGCAACATTTTTATGTTGGCAAGAATCCCCTCTCTTCCCTTTGAACACTGTAGGGAGAGCTGCTTCATCTGGGCTTCCAAGGCCTGGCCCTCGGGGGAGGTGCTGTTTTGGCTCTTACCCCAACACCACCATTGTTACTGAGACCTCTGTTGTTATTGGCCTGTCACTTGTTTTCTTCTCTGCCCCTTCTGCCCTGTCTCCTCGTTCTCCCTCACATCCTGGGGAGGAGGCCCTGCTGCACTCACTCCGAGGACCCAACACCAGGAACATCATTCCAAACTCTGACAGGGACACAGGACTGGGCAGGTCCAGGCTGCCGGGCCTTGCGACCGCGAGAAACTGCTCTGGCACCTCAGATGGACTTGTTGGTCCCGAACTAAAGCTGGACACAGACTGAGTTTCTGAGTCATCTTCAGACACGAAGTTGCTACAGTTGTCATCTTCAAAAGCCTCGGTGGCCACAGAAACAGTGTCCAGCTCAGCTCTGCCTCCTGACAGGTCCTCCACTGAGGTACTGCTGCTCTCCACACCCACACCACTGCCCCAAGGCCCCATGGTGCTGGAGCGCCGCCGCTCGTGGGTCTCATCCTTTCGCCAGGGTCAGTTTGGCCTGTAGGCCATCTACTGTCTTCTTTAGTTGCTCGAGCTGCACATAGTACTTTCTTTGAGTTCAAAATACGATTTGGACTTGTTGATGGCTCTCTTGAGCTGCCGCATGCGGCCTATGGCAGCGTTGTACCTGGCCACTGTCACTGCCTATGTACCACATCTTGGTCTGCTCGGCCTCCATGGCCCTCTGTATGGTGTGGTTCAGCATCTCCTGCCAAGCTGAGTCAAACTGCCGCTTGTCGTCCTCCAGCAGCCTCTGCTCAGCTTAGCGGCAAGGTGCACTTCAGTGGCCCTGTGAAAGTCCTGCGTGGCTTCCTGAGCTTCTGGCTGGGCCTGCCTGGCCACCTTCCGCGCCTCCCAGTAAGGTTTTGAGTCTTCCACACCTTTGCCGATTTTCTTCACCAGTTCATCCAGTTTCACCCTGGCCTCAACCAGAACGGAACGGAACTTCTAACGAGCATCCTCAAGCTCAGTCTCCCATCAGTTGATATCATCAGTGGATTGATTTAATTTCTCCAGTTCACTCTGTATTCGGGGATCCACCTCTTCCTCCCCCTCTAGCGCCTGCTCCATCCTCTCCTCTTCCTCCTCTGCGCCTCCCCCTCCTCCGAGTCTCTCGCCAGCAACAGGAGCTCGGATAGCTCTTCCGAGCACCCAGTTTCAGCACCAAGTCCATGCAGGCAGCCAGGCAGTGGACTCAAAGTGCCCGCAGGGGTTACACATCACGGCCGGGCCAGGTAGGAAACACCTCAAGCTTTAAAACATGGGCCATTGGAGACCGTTCAAGATCCAAACTATAGTA